GACATCTGGCTATATAAATAAACATAAATAAACACAAATCAGAAAAATCTTCCAATTTTCAAGGGTGCAATGTTATGTTTAGAAAAATAAGAAAAAACACAATACTCACATACACCTGGAGGGAGAGCAATATGGTTTGTTGTTTTCTGGTCCAAGCTACAGTGGCCGACAGATGCAAACATGCTACAACAGCCCAAAATACTTAGATAAGGAGAAACGTGCTGCAGCTTAAAAAACTATGCAAATACAAAAACACAAATGTGCCAAAACCCATGTAAAGGAAGGAACATCTTCACCAACTTGACAACACATGCGCAGCTTGTCAAACTTCAAAAACACACAGCCCAAAACATCTCGTAATGGGAATGTTTTAGGGCTGCCACTGTACCAAGTAGCTTCAATTTAGGGAATCATTCAAAAGGAACTTGTCATATTAAAGCTTTGATTTGAAATACAATTTAATTTGTGTGTGAATGATACACACAAATGTGCTATCTCGCATCCCCATCCTTTACTGTGCAACAAAAATATCAACATTATATGAATAAACCTTGATACTTTATTTATGATTCAAATTAAAATACAGCTAATGTATTTTATACAACCCGATCTATTTACACCAAACAAGTCTCATATGTATTGCCCTTTGTAGAAAAATAATGGAGAAGTGATTGATGTCCAACCATACTCCATGACCTTATGTTTAATGGCAACACGTTTGAATTATTAAATGTAGAGGCTAAACGACGGCTTTCTCTAAGTTGAAATACAGTGGGACAGGTAGTTTATCATTGTACCTAACAAGGTGGACATAATCCCCCCTGGTTATGCTGCAGTGTTGTGGGGAAGTGCTTAAGATCAATGAAGTTTAAAATGGCACTTACAGACTGTTACATAAAGTCCAATAGCCCATATCATAATGTGGCCGGTCACTTGAAATGACATCTTCTTCTTCTGGTGACCATCACTGCCTCCAAGAGTGGTGTCAGTGAACACACCATCCTGCAGCTTTAGTGTGGCTGTCCATGGTGCTGAAATCAGACTCACTGCATGTCAAAACCAACAATGGAGCTTATCACAGTAAGAGGACTCTCTCAGAACCTCTGTAGTCCAAACACTTTGCTATCAATGGAAAATGAAATTCTTTTTAGACTACTTGCTAATAGTCATACCCATTATAAATAGGCTTTCCACTTTGAAGAGTAGAGTATTCTTTTCATTTTGTTCTTTAGAATCAAATATGGATTCCAGACTTGTAGGAGCATTCAATTGGAGATAAGCTGTGCTGCATAGGTCTACAAGCTGGAACAAAATGTGTAGGGACAACAACAACAAAAATATAGTAAGTACTTACATTTGGTTGTCAATGTCAACTGCTGCAGCTCTTTTAAACTGATTCTAAATGTGGGTAAGGACAACAAATATTTTCAATCAAAAGCTATTAGTGGTAAACTTGTGACAGTAACAACTTATTAACTGTCTTTACATTAAGATTGAAATGTTGTTAAAGTGATATTTGAGTCCTAAAACCTGGATATGAGTCAGCATTTTTGCACTTCCGGTTCCCTTGTCTCAAAGAAATGATTTTGTAATATAACAAATATATATATACAAAGCCGGAAAAAATCTGCCACTTCCTTACAGAGCCCCTCCTCCAACACACACAAAGGTGCACATGACCAATGAGGGCACGAGATAAGTTTGTGCACAGATGGAAGGCTGACAGGCAGGTAGGCCATCCAGTTATTTTAGCCGGGCCGGCTCAGATGTTTGGTCGTGCTTTTTACAGTAGCTACTACGGCTTCCACAGATGACATTTTTTTGTATGGATTTTTTGTCAAAGCACTTAAGATATTCATTGCTATCGGGATGTTAAGAGCATTCCATGGAATATAACAAAAAGTGTATCTCGAGCCGGTTTCTCAAACTTACATACCCCACCTTTAACTGCACTGCCACTATTGTATTTTTTACATCTATGCTATGATATTT